TTTAAAGTCTTGCACTTTCAAATATTGACCTTGCAAAGGACTGGAAATTTTCCTCAGGCTATAAAGTCTCTGGTGTAAGATAAAGATTTGTGGCATAGCGAGGTTGCTGGCTCAAGGACAGACTAGTTACGGATTGATATGTAAAGATACTGGAAAAAAGCTGGAGAGGGAAGGAATGCTTGCTAAGATCAAGCTTTTGTCAGTGGATCACTTAATTGCCTTACTGGAATGTCATGTGACTTGTTTCACTGAAAGTTACCAGCCTATATTGTTAAACTATAACCCCACCTATGTTCTCTTCCTGTAACTTCCTGGTCTGGAAAATAAATGCAGGAAGATAACCCCGATTCGGGGTTAATTTTCCAAGGAAGGGATGCCTCTTCGCTTGAGGTTCCAGGGAAGTTAACCACTTTGGGGCTTCTCACTGCTCAGAAGAGATGGGCTTTGAGTATTCCTTTGCAGCTCTATCACCCAGGGGAAGTGGGGTGACAAATCCGTGGGGGGCCAAGCAACAAATCAGTAATCAGTTTGTATTTAGAGGCTTCATGATATGAGAAAAGCATACCCTTAAATACTAGACTCACAGGTGGTGCAGGGCGACCACATGAGGATGCAGAATCACAGACCGGCCAAGGGGACTGCAGGTCTACGTCTCCCATGTCATGCTCACTGCGGGGCATACTCCCATGGAGGGAATGACAGACCCCTCTACTCTATCTAAACAACAGCAATAGTATCTATTATTATTTTAATAGATTTTGGATACTTGAACTCATATAACTTAATTTTCATACATAGAGTGCTAATTAAACATAGCATAATGACAACATAACACCCTGCAAAGAAATCTTTACTAGTCTTCGGCACTTACTGAATCCACTAAGTGCAGGGCACTGTGTTATTAGGTAGGTTCTGTGGGATTCCAGAGGCAAAAAGGGCATGCTTCCTGTTCTTAGGTAGCTAACAGCAGCACCTTGCACAGTGGGCACCTGTGAGAGGAGGCTGTATACCAATGGCCACCAACAGTGTTACCAACTGCCTGATGGCACTTGTCTTCTGGGAGCATGCACATATTCAGCTTACTGTCTAAGGGGAGTTCTGGAAGGCATGAGGCTGAGATTGTAAATGAGGATACTCCTCGTGAGGCATTTGTCAAGAGATGTGCTTCATATGTATGTGGTACGCCACCAACTTTTTCCATAAACCTCATACTTATGAGAACCAAATATACAGGGAAAGGAAAAAGCAGAATTTACAAATACAGTCAGCCCTGCATATCCGTGGGTTCTGTATCCATGGACTCATCCGATTGCAAATCAAAAATATTCAGGAAAAAAATTGCATCTATACTAAACATGTACAGATTTTTTTCTTTTTACTATTCCCTAATCAATACAGTATAACAACCATTTACATAATATTTACATTGTATTACGTATCGTAAGTAACCAATAGATGATTTAAAGCATATGGGAGGATATGCTTAGGTTATATGCAAATACTACACCATCCGATATCAGGGACTTGAGCATCCATGGATTTTCGTATCTTTGGAAGGTCCTGGAACCAATGCCCTGCAGATACTGGGGGACGACTGTATCAACTTCAGCCTCCAGAGGGACCAGCTATTCTTAAGGGCAAGCAAAAACCTGCTTCAGCAAAATGCTGGGACAGGCACAGGAAAGTCAGGAGAGGGTGTTGCCCAAATCATCAGCATCCCTAACCTCCAAATCTTAGACTTGGGAGGCCTTTTGCTAAACATCCTGGGGCACCATGAATGAGTCTAAGATACATAAACACGTAAGAAACTATGTAAGAAACAATATTTACAGAAAATTTTTCCCAATCTCTCCTATGTATGCTAATATTTACCTGACTTTGTGATTCTCGTTCCCTATTTGGTATTTCTCACTGGCTATACATTGGCATATGTTTTGGTTGACTTCGTGTAAAGGCTAACAATGCCTTTCATTCAGTCAGAAGATAGAAATTCCTAGGTACACAGCAAGGTAAAAAACCTCTCTGCGGTGAGTGTAGAACAGTGGATCTCAGACTTGAAAGTGCACTAGAATCACCTGGAGGGCTTGTTTAATAAAACACAGATTGCTGGGCCCACCCACACAAGCTGATTCAGTTGGTCTGGATGGGACCTCATTGTATGCATTTCCAAAGAGTTCCCATATGATGCTGATGTTCCTGGAATGGGGACGATGCTTTGAAACCACTGGTGAAGAGAAGACCCAAGAAGGGCATTTTCCAGGCAGGGGCAATCAGAGGCTAATTCTAATGCTACCCGAGACTTGCTGCCCTTGCATAGCTGTTATCTGCACAAACCTTGGCAAAGTCTATGCTGATACACATTTTCTTTTCTCTGTACCTGAGGTGCACAGATTTGGATAGATCATAATCCTTGGTGTGTGGCCCACTCTCACCGGTGGTGTAGGTATAAACCATCTGTTCATTCATTCATTCCTTTTTAATAACATAATAAACACTAACCAAAATAAAAGTTTAGGACCTTGAAAATAACCTACATCTGACTACCTGGAACTTATCCCATCTACCCTACCTCCCAACATATGAGTTAACCAGTTAACCATCATTCTCTTGCTTTTCTTTTTACAGTTTTATTAAATCTATAAACTGTAGTACAGTCATACGGTGGAATACTGAATAACAGTCAAAACAAATGAACTGCACCAAAAAACGATACGCATGAATCACAGCAACATAATAATACTAAATGAAAAAGTAAAAATTACATACGGATGATACCAGTTTATAACATTAGAAATGTATACTCTTTAGGGTGTCTTAAAATAGATGTACATTTTTAAATCTTTGTATTTCTTTGTAATCACTGAAGAAATACATGTTTACTTAAAAAGAGCCAAAAAGTAAAGAAATACCCCTGGTCAGTTTTAACAGGGGAGGATACGACATTGCCCCACTGTGTCCTTCCCAGGTTTCCTAACAAAGCTCAGTTTTCATAAAAGAGCTCCGAAATCAAGAGCACTGAAACAAGCAGCAAATCACAAAAAACAAAGTAGTAAACAAGCACAAGGGGGGAATGTTAACTCTGCTCATAATCAGAGAATTGCAAATTAAAGCT